CAGGACCTCTGCGTGAGTTTGGTTACATTCTGTGTTGCAATAAAAACAAAAAGCTAATCTAGGCGTGCTTGTGTCTGTGAGGCTTCTTCTGAGAAGTAAGATTCTGGACATGGAGCTAAGATTCTGAAGAGTTGAGATTTACAGCCATTTCTGATGTGAAGTCTATTATCTTGAGTGCAGGAGTCAAAAAGGCAGACTTTTTAAGCTGTGGAAAATGCAATCCAACTTAATTCATGGATGCAATATGCAGAGCTTTCGGGAGAAAAAATATGTTTTATTTATTATTTATTTATAATGTTGTTTATTGCCTGCTATTTCTCCTGCGGGTCAAAAGTGCATACATAAAACTCTCCCTGATTTTATCTCCACAACAGTAACACTGCTGAGAGAGAAAAAACTGGCCAGAAGTCTCCCTAGAGCTATTTTCTGTCCAAATCTAACACTTTAATCCAGGGATGTCCAACTTTAAGAAATGTGGACTTCAACTCCCAGAATTCCCCAGCCAGCTGTGTTGGCTTAAGAATTCTGGGAGTTGAAGCTCAGAAATCTTAACGTTGCCAAAGTTGGACATCCCTGCTTTAATCATTACACTATCCTGGTTCTCCCGGAATCATTAAACATTAGTAATCAACATAAGCGAAACTTCATTGGAATATAATTATGTGGAACTATATTAAGGTGAGTGTGAACTGTTACAGACATTCAATATTGAAACTGTAAGAATTTTCATAATTTTGACGTTAGGAGGTAGGAGGTAAGAGGCTCACATGACTGGCCTTTTCTAGCTTTCTCTGGTGTTGTCAAGTTTTGTGATTTCACCACATCAGAAGCTTTGGGTGCACCAGAAGAGAAATTTTTAGTAAAGATCAAGCCTTATTTTAAAAAATAGTATTTGATAGTCAACTCTGTACTTTCTTATGATGACTGGACAACATTTTGCATTAGCATTCATAGCAATATGTAATTCTTTCAATTGCTAAAATGCTTGTTAAGTCTTGTTGACTGAATTTAAAATATTCTTTATTGTAGTAAAAAAAAAAGATTTGATTAACTGTGGGTGTTTTCCTAATGCCATATGTTGAAAAGGAACTGTTTTCTTATATCTAACTATATTTCCTTAATTAAAAACTTGTGAATCATGCTGGTATTAGATCTTATTTATAGTTAAAGTCCATGCCTGAACTTTTTTTTTTCAGGAACATTTTCATCCTTCTTTAGAAAATCGTCACTTAAAAGGCACATACATGTACACAGCTTCTGTTTCACTTTTTCCATAAATAATCACATTTTTCAAGCTGCACATGAAAATATTCCTTTTTTTGACAAGTTGACATTATCTATACACCATTGTTCAGGTGGTTGAAACCAAGTTAACTTTTACATATTGCCATTTTTATTGTTTGTTTCACACCATCAACAGAGCTTCAGTTTCAAAGTGACCTACTGAAATTGAAAATGTAACCTTCTCCAAATAATAAATGGGGGATTCTCTGTGTTGACATCTAAGCCTCTGACCTAACACATGGAGAACACCTCTACAAGCTACCTGCAAGCAATACCAGTAATAATTATATTCTCCCGGTGAGGGCTTAGGTCGGTTGATCTTCACTTGTAGTGTTAATTTTAATGATCACAGAGGTTGAAAATAATAGAAGGAATAGAAGAACAGAGGAGCACAGGTGTAAATAACTTAAAGACTGTTGTTTTGACATTCAAAACTTTACAAGTCAAACTCACAAGACCAGCAAAAGCCTCAGACACATCCATAATTGACAGTACAACAAAATGATAATACAGTTAGGAAACAAATGAATCTAGGAAAGGTTCAGATGTCCCAAGATTAGATTACATATACGATCAATTATATAAATAATGGATTTGCACATTCTTGGCAGAATGCAAAGGACAACATAACTTGCTGCTTTGCAACAGAACATTTAATTTGAAGAGCACTCATCCCCTCACGCCACACAATAAATGCTTTCAAAGCTACGAGGATAAAAATTCATTCTGGAAAGTGAAAAGTTCTTTAATTAGAAAAGAAGATTATACAGGTTCTTATGTGCCGAAAAAGTATTACCTTGTTAAGCTGAGAAATCTTGATCATGTCTTGTGTGTCAGGAGTCTTGATGACTAGTAAGTATCTGCTTAGGAAAAACTTGTAGCTTAAGTATATGGTTTACATCAACGGTTCCCAATCCTCAGTCCCTGGACCAGCACCGGGCTGCAGCATCCCAGAAACTGAGCCACGCAGACCCCACAAAACCACACCCCTTCCGGTCCACGGAACCAGTCCCTGGTGCCCAAAAGGTTGGGAGCCACTGGCTTACGTGGTTATCTGTGGTAGCATGACTGATTTGAATTTAATGATCGAGATTCACAAAGTAATAGTAAAATCCAAAGGTGATGAGGCTTTCTGGGTGACCAACACATTGTTATTTCATAGAATAAAAATATTGGGGAGAAATGGACATAGAAGAAAAAATAAACAAGCATACAAGTAAAAGAACCACAGAGAGAGAATATATAAATCGTGCACGATATGCAAATATATCAGGAGACAGGCTATTTTTTTCGATAGAATGAATGGAAGGTGAACACAAGGAAATAGCAATAGCACTTATATACCACTTCATGGTGCTTTTACAGCTCCCTCTGAGCTGTTTAGAGTCACCATATTGCCCCTAGCAATCTGGATCCTCATTTTATCGACCTCAGAAGGATGGAAGGCTGAGTCAACCTTGAGCCAGTCAGAATCGAACTCTGGAATGAGCAGTGAGCTAGCCTGCAATCCTGCATTTTAGCCACTGCGCCATCATCCTAGAATACGGAAGCCACTCAAAACAGAGGGGAAAGCATTATCAGATAAATATGTTGAGCGTAATATTAATGGGAAGTGTAAAATGTTTGGGAATAGCAGTGGTATTCAAAGATGGACTGAAATTATTACAACATTAGTAAACAAGAAAAAGTTTGAAATCATAATTTCTCTCGCAATCTTGAAAAAAATGACAAATGCAGGTGTAGTGATACAACTTGAGATGCGGTATATACTTGCAAAGTATTCTACAATAGTTTGGCATGTGAAGTCTTTACCTGTACTTGATAATTGGAAGGATTCTATTATTGTTCCCCTATAAAAATGGAAAAGGTACCACAAGATTAAATGCACAAGAAAATAAGGGCATTAGCTTAAGTAAGGGCATTATTATGTCTGAGATTGTCCTGCTGAGATTTACGATAGTACAAAAGATATAAATGGGCAATATTTGGGACATGTATTTATTATTTGTTTGTTTGTTTATTAAATTTATTTGCCACCTATACGTATTGTAGCTTAATGGTGAGCAGAAGTTGCACTCAAGAGTTTTTGTCTTCATAGTAGAAATACACCGAAGCGAGGAGTAGAGGGAAAGAAGAGGGAGGAGTAGAGAGGGAGTGAGAGGGGAATGTAAGGAGGGTGAGATGGAGGGAAGGGGAGAAAGGAATGTCTGAGGGGGAGGGGAAGTAGAAGAGGGGGATGTTGGAGGGGAGAAATGAAAGTTGGAGGGGGAGAAGAAAGGGTGTATGGAGGATTGAAGTGTTATGTTGGTTTTCTATAGTGGAATAGAAGATGAGTTGTGTTTATTGTTTTTTTAATTGCACAGTATATAAGTGATTGTATAAAATGAAAATGAAAATGAAAAGTATTAATACCAACTTTTAAAATGCTATTAATGAAACCTAAAATTCTTAACCAAAAAAAAAAAAGAGTTTTTGTCTTCAACTGTTGTTAAAAAATAGATGGCTGCTAGAAATAAAGTTTAAAGTGCATCTGTTTACTTAGAAGAATCACAAGATACAGCCTGAGTATTGACTATTTTGTACCAATATGGAGTTGAAGGTTGATTGTGGAGTGTGAAAAGGGCATTAGAATGAAGTAAAAGTACATGTACGAATAAATGAAATGCTTTGTAAATGTTCCAGGTATTAGGAATATGACAATTACATGTGATGTCTTTTTAATTGTGATATGGATGGATGGATGGATGGATGGATGGATGGATATAGGATGCATAAGGATTGCATTGGAGATGTATCATTCAGGAAATGAATGTTTATGTACGTTTTATGCAGATGAGGCTCTGTTGTTAGCAAAACCCAAATGATTTGTAGAGACTGTTAAATACTATAGATCAGTGTTTCTCAACCTTGTCAACTTGAAGATGTCTGGATTTCAACTCCCAGAATTCCCCAGCCAGCGAATGCTGGCTGGGGAATTCTGGGAGTTGAAGTCCAGACATCTTCAAGTTGACAAGGTTGAGAAACGCTGGGGAATTCTGGGAGTTGAAGTCCAGACATCTTCAAGTTGACAAGGTTGAGAAACGCTGGGGAATTCTGGGAGTTGAAGTCCAGACATCTTCAAGTTGACAAGGTTGAGAAACGCTGGGGAATTCTGGGAGTTGAAGTCCAGACATCTTCAAGTTGACAAGGTTGAGAAACACTGATCTATAGATTGTACGGTGCCTTGAGGAGCATGGATCTGAAAATTTACATTGAATAAGTTTAAATTTATATTATCAGTAAGTGAGAATTTGCAAAGCATGCCTGCCTAAATACCAAGAACAACTGTCTGAACCATTAAAAATGGAAAAAATTCTACAACATACCCATGCTGTTAGAAAGACAATGGGTCCTGTGGGAATGGGTTTTTTCCTTCAAAATATGTGAAAATATCTACATATAAAAATAAACTTTTTCTTATAAAGACCAGTGTGAAAGGATTCTATTGTGGTGTTTGAATCACCCAGAGATAATTGAATGGGGATCAAAGTGTGAAACAAATACATTAAAAAAAGGAAGTGAGTTGAATGGGAAAGGAAGGGGAAGTTGAATCAACTGTAGTTGGGTGAAGTTGATAAGATCCACAACAAGAGGTTGGAATCTTATAGAAGTATTGTGCCAGACTTCTCCTAATAGGCTAATTAAATAGGTACAGAAGATGCAAGGACTTTTGATAAGGTAGTTTTATTACAGAAAAGCTAAGAAGCCTTTAAAAAGAATTCTTAAAGGAATTTGAGTGACTGCTGGATACAAGCTTTGTATATAATGACCAATATTCAGATTTCTTGTACTTCTTTATCTTAACTGGTTTTATATGAAGAACAACAAACAATGATCTTTTGAATGGTATATGTATTTTATATATCTATTTCTGGATTTGGTACCAGTCTGGTGTACAAAAGGTTGTTATCCTTTGACAACATGAAAGGTAACTCACATTACATATGGACATAGGGGAAAGGATGATGATTTGCAAGGAGTAAAAAAGCATTGCTGACAGTATTGCAATAAATAGGTTTAGTAAGACTTTTTCCCCCTCTTTTCGTCTTTGTCTTCTAATTTCTTTTTATGCTTCTCATATCTTTTCTATGCTTTGCAGAATTGCTTACTCTAAAAAAGGAATAGCATGAGGGGTATTCATATATGCATATATTTCCAATAAATAATTGATACTATCCGTTGGCATTGGGCTGTGCTTATTTCCTGAGGGGTGTGTGTGTGAGAGAGAGAGAGACAGAGACGGAGGGAAGGAGAGAGAGAGAATTTGAAGCATTTGCTTGTTTTTCCATTAGGTGACTCAGTTTAGAAACAGAATTAAAATTAAAATCTCATTTGCTTTGAAACCTTGCAGATGAATAACTTAATTAGTTCTACGGTTTCCCCCTGTTAACTTGTGCTCCGAGATATAGGGAGGTTTTGTATCTAAGTCTTCGGCTAAGATGAAGAGGCAAATGGATACCACTACTAATAATTTTATTGTCCTTCTGCTTTTCCCAGATGCCTGAGAAGCCCACTGTTGCTTTGGTCCCAGCTCCAACATCTGCTTCCTCCATGGGGAACGAGTTCCATGTTTCATCAACCAAGCACAGCAGCATTTTGCACTGATTGCTCCTTCCTCTCCACATGGCCTTTCTACTGCTGTCAGCATATCTTCTGCTGACTCCTGCTCAGGCTGCTCCAGTTGAGAATGGGACTCTGGTGGTGGAGACGCTGACATCGCAAGCCCTCCTCGGCAATAAGAGTGAACACTATTTGGCGCAAGTGAGACCTCCTGGCACAAGCAGACAAATACCTCAGACGATTATCATTGGTGTGCGTAAAGGAGGGACCAGGGCCTTACTTGAAATGTTGGATGTTCACCCAAACATTGTGGTAGCAGCTACGGAAGTCCATTTTTTCGACTGGGAAGAAAACTACGTGAAGGGCATCGACTGGTATAGAAGCCTGATGCCGCTTTCGTATGAAAATCAAATAACTATTGAGAAAACGCCAGGCTATTTTACCTCGCCGCAGGCGCCCGAGAGGATTCACGATATGAATAGCTCTATTAAACTGCTGCTTATTCTGAGGGACCCCACGGAGAGAGTTATCTCTGATTACACCCAAGTCTATTACAATAGGCTGGAAAACCACAAGCCCGTCCAGCCCTTTGAAGACGTCGTTATAAAAAACGGTGTCCTTAACACCAAATACAAGGCTATCCAGAGGAGTCTGTACGACGTCCATATGGGGAGGTGGCTGAAATATTTCCACTTGGATCAGATCCACATAGTTGACGGGAACACCTTGATCAGGGACCCTCTTCCTGAACTGCAGAAAGTGGAAAGGTTCCTCAACCTGCCTTCCAAAATCTTGTCTTCAAATTTTTATTTTAACCAGACCAAGGGCTTCTATTGCATCAGGAGCGACGGACGAGAGAGGTGTTTGCACGAGTCCAAAGGGCGGCCCCATCCTGTGGTCAACAGTACGGTCTTAGAGCAGCTTTACTCCTATTTCAGAGAGCACAATGAGAGATTTTATAGAATGATTAATCATTCTTTCGACTGGCATTAATGACTCCGATTTTGAAGCAAAGGGTTTCCTTGTAAAACAGTCCTCAGATGAATTATTTTCAAGTTCTTCCTCTTAAATTTCCGGGGTTACATTCATTTTGATAAGAAGATGGTTATTTCCCTCCCTGAGAGAGAGGCTAGGCATGCATTATTAGTGTGCTCAAGGAAGAGGCTTAACTTTGGCTTTTAATTACCGGAATAAACTTTGCACCAGCTTAAGTTCCCCGACCTCAGTGGAGTTATGTCAGAACTACACTTAACATTGTCTGTTTTTATTCAGATTTATGAACAAAAGAAGCTTTGCAGAAAACCACTTTAACTGATGCTTTAAAAACCTGTAGCGGAAGTGTTATTATTCCACTTACAGGTTTTGTTGGCTGCTGTTATTTTTCTACCCAGCTCCATGACGGTGGGACTGATTTTTAAATCTTTTCATACTGTAAGATAATTATATATTAGAAGAAAAGATGACTTAGTGGTTCTATTATATAATTTTATTTATTCGGTGAAATTATAACTGTAGAATATATGCCATCTAAATATCAAAAGTGAGTTTAAACAGTTTTGGTTTATGTTATGAGTCCCTCTATGTAGAATATTTGTAATGGGTAACACAGTTATTATTCACATAGGTTTTTTAAAAAAATAACGATTATTAAGCTTTTAATATTCCCAATTGAAGCAAGAAGGCTCTAAAGCAACACATTATACACAGTAGACATCAGGAATTTTGAAGCTGTATTCTTAGACATGATATCAATTATGTAATCATCTAATCATATAAAATTATGATTAGAAGATTAATCATATAAATTGTATGAGCCACCCTTCATAAATGCATAATTATTAAGTCTTGTTTGTATTTTGTAATCACTTGTTCCAATAGTTTATTAATTAATAGTGTTGATTTGGCACATTTATGAGAAAAAAAACTGCCTGCTCTCCAAAGTGTGGAATAATAATTTTTGTAATATCTATTTGAAGACCAGATGTATTCAAGTGCATAGTAACTTCATGTGGTACTGTATACCTTACACACAATATTCAAAATAATCAAGTATGGGTTTCTGATTTATCTATAAAACTATAAAATCTACATGGGTGCATTAGGATTTCTTTATAATGCATTTTTTTTACTAGATAGTGTAACAGTCATTGCTGCTTCTCATATCTGCATTTCTGGAGGTTTTGTAGATTGGGGTATAAGAACATATCGCTATCACACATTGTTGGCAAATGAAGGTGTTTGGTTAGCAGCCAAGCAGGCAAACTTTACAAAAGATGATGCTAATTTCTTGTAGGGTATAAAATTGTAATTGGAAGATACTTTAACACTCACATAGACAATCCCCAGTTGAGAGCCGAGGTGGCACAGTGGTTAGGAGTGCAGTACTGCAGGCCACTTCAGCTGACTGCTATCTGCCCTTAGCCTGTGGTGGAACAATCCAGAAAGAGGGAGTCCTTGTGACTACTAACTTAAATATCTCACCAAAAGATTTTTAATTGCCTTTCTTAAGTCCAGACATGTTCATGTAAGTACAGGCAGTCCTTCCAAAAAAAGAAAACCCTAATCCCAATATATGCTTAAATATGCTTATGCTTTAAATTTAATTTTTAAGGTCCACTTAAATTTATTATATCCAGACCAGCTTAGTAAATAAAAATAAATAAGTTGTACTTTACTTGGCTCCAGAAATACAGCCAGTGCAGAAACGTTGTGTTAGCTTGATCTTCAGAGCAAGCAAACCGTGGGATTTGGTACCAATGAACTTCCTGAAATGTCTTTTAAATAAGTTCTACAAACAACATTATAGCAGTTAAACGGTATATAACCAGATCGTGTCTCACAAGGACTGTAAAGAAAGTGTTTGCTCAAACGATCAGAAAGGATTTTAAACTTAACCCTGAAAGTCAGCGCTAAATACCAGTACTTCAAATAAAGTATACTGTATATTAAAATGGGACCTGTAAAATACTTAACTGCCCCAGGATCTGCTGAATGAATTTTTTTTTGCCAAGAATGGACTGTCCGGTATATTCCTACGTTGGTTCTCTCATATTTTGGCCTTCAGAGATGGGAGAAAAGCATAAAGGAATCAATTGTTCTTGATTTGTTCCCAACAAGTAGACTAGAAAATAAAAATGGTTTTACTTTTAAGGACAATGGACAGCCATTGGTAGGAAATGGTATGCAGTTTCCTGCTTGATCAGGGGTTGGACTAGAAGACCTCCAAGGTCCCTTCCAACTCTATTCTGTTATCCTGTTAAAGGTGACCATATAATGCTTTAAAGAAAAACTAACATTTGGGTATAGTTAGATGTTTACCTTGAACTTCAAAAAGCAAATTTTAGTAATGTAATGATAATAGGACCCCACGGCAGGAGACCCCATTAAAACATCTCAAGATAGATGGAAATGTGTTGTTGTTGTTTTTAGAAAGGCACTAAATGCACAATAGCAAATAATTTAACAACAAAAGCAGCAACATTTTGCAATGACAAAAAGAAAAAGAAGATCGTAGAAGCCAATGTAACTGCACAATAATGTTCTGAAAATCAAAATAGACACAAAGAAGAAGAAAAGAATCAGCCACTTCAGAGGGAGAGGAAGAAGATTTGGTGAATCACAGCTTGACAACACTTACGAAGTCTCTAGGGCCAGAACATAAAATGATTGGTGATAAAGCATGTTGAAAACACTACAGTGGTTAATAGAATTTCAACATGGATTTCTCCAGAACGGTTTTTCTTGGAGTTTCCATTATTATTATTGGATATATTTCTTTGTGGACTGTGGAAAACTGTAAACATAATGTATCTTCGTTTTGACAAAGCGGTTTTAAATTTAAAAAAATTTATTGAAGAATTTTACACAGTCATGAAAGCAGTGCAAATTTAAGAAAGAGGAAAAAGGAATAAACAAAAATAATGAATAGATAAAGAAAGGGAAAAAGTTGAATGTCTAAAGAAGCAGCTTCCATTTTTTTTTTTACAGCAGTTACAAATATATTTATCATCTATTTTTTTTTCCCCTTCCCTACCCTTTGTGATAATCAAATCCATACTTTCCAGGTTTTTTCTTTTTAATGTTTTCAGCAAAAAGTCCATAAAAGGTTTCGGGTAGATAATAAAAAAAACATTTATAAAATGTTTTATGATTAGCAAAATGGCTCCTTCCTCTACTTTGTTGTTCAGGAGTTGCTTTTTTTTAAGGCATAACAGTGAATTAATGGAAGATGCTACAGAGCCGAGGTGGCGCAGTGGTTAGGGTGCAGTACTGCAGGCCACTTCAGCTGACTGCTATCTGCAGTTCGGCTGTTCAAATCTCACCGGCTCAAAGGTTGACTCAGCC